TGACAGCAAGTGAAATTTATGGGGGGTAGTCCAGGACACACAAGTAGAGAATATTAGTACAATGAGTGGGGTTCGAGTCATTGTAACATTATGAATTAAAAAAAACAACCCATTTTTATTATAGCAGATTTTATTTTAGCTGATATGACTGATTTTATTTCTATACAGTCGTTTACCCCTGCAGCAGTAAATCTTTGTTTTTTGAGTCTTTTAACTTTTCTTCATTTTTATTATAGGAATTTTTCTCTGGCTTTTACCCCTCGAGAGAGAGAGAGAATCTTTTCCCTTTGCAACTTCTTGTGTGGCTAAAGAGGCCAATCTTTGAAACACAGCTGGGGGGGGGGGGGGGGGGGGCACAGGTTGGGCATCTGTAATCACCAGGGGCATTTGCATTTTCACCCTTTCTTCTACTACTAGTAATATTTGAAATGGAGCCAAAGATTGATAAAGGGATAAACAAATAAAAAAAGGATTTGAGTTTTAAATCTAGTATTTTTTTTAATCTCATCAGTAATTTTTATGTTATTACCCATAAGGATACTCCCAAAATAGTTGACAAATTATTTTAAAAAGTTGAATTTGAAAAAAAAAAAACAACACTTTCTTACTAGAAAGGAAGGAGTTGCTTTTGTTTACAAACACTTGCCAGGTTTCATTTATCTGACACAAAGTTTGTTTTTGTTTCCTTTAATTGTTCTTGTTAATATGTGAGTGTTTCAAGACAGCGGCAGAGAGAGAAGCTTAGTTCAAGAACTGATAAATAGTTAGGACTAAGTCATATGGGCTAACCTTGTATTCATTTTGATTTCACCTATCCCTAAATGGACAAAGTAGTTTTTAAGCTCCACAGGAATACTGCATCAGCCCCTAGTCATTTAGCTTTAACCCAATAGCTGCTATTTCTAGTCTGAAAAATCCTTTGTCTTAAGCAAAGCAGAGTAACTCTGTATATATATATATATATATAAATTTAAGAAGTTGTACTAATAAATAAATAAACAACTTTAAAAAAAAGATTATGTCTAGTTTCAAAAAAATATATACTTTTAATAACTTTAGAATAATATAAAAAAGCTTCAGAAATACTCATTTTCCCAGGAGGGGGCTTATACACTGGGGCTATGGGCCATTTTGTCAAAAATTCTTTAAAAAATAATTAAAAAGTGATACACATCCAGAGTCACCACACTCTGTTCTCATTCTGAACAAGAAAAGAAGAGCTCTTCTGGTATAAAGGTTTAAGCATATAAATTTAATAATGTAAAAACATTCTGAACTGCTTTAGGAGCTAATGGGTTCAACTAGATCTAACTTAACACTACTAGTTTAAACGATCTATGTGTTTACCAAACAGGATGTGGGCGGCCAAGACAAAATTCGACCGTTGTGGAGGCATTACTTCACTGGCACCCAGGGACTTATATTTGTGGTGGACTGTGCAGATAGAGATCGCATTGACGAAGCAAGACAAGAGTTACATCGTATCATTAATGATAGGGAGATGAGAGACGCCATCATACTCGTGTTTGCTAACAAACAGGACCTTCCAGATGGTAAGAGATTTGATTTACCTTATCAAAAATAAAACACATCCTTTAAATCCTATTACATGCAAAGGGGGATAAGTCTAAAGAAAGTTATATATACTGGTACTAAGTTAAGCATATTATTATATCAGTCGGAGGAAAAGCTGTTGTTAGTCTCTTTGCTCTCTGTCTGTCATGTTTAGATCTTTAAAAACTAAAAGCACTATTAAAAACAGATTTCGCCATTGTGTTCTTCTTCATACTTAGCTTGTCAAGAACTTGATATCAGTTTTTGGTCAACTACTTGCCTAGGTTGATTCCTGACCAGTAACTTTATAAAAATATGTTTAGAAAATTATTTTTTTGTTTTTGTTTTTCTCAATTCTTTTTAGTGTTTGTAATTGTAATAGTGAAATTTCTGGGACCAATTTTAACTCTTTTATCTCCATAATTATTTTCCATATTCTGACAGAATGGACCTCATTCGCCAATTGTAAAGAAACAACATTTAGCCACTTGATAATATTGATAAAACAACGGGAAAAAACTGTCACGTGATAGCCATTCTGCATTATGTAATTTGTATAGAAGAGATAGATGTTTGTTTACGATTGGTGAATGAGGTCCATTGTTCATTTTTTACATTTGTACATTCTACCCTGTTATGATTAAACTTCAATAACATTTTGTTTGTAATCAGAAAACATTGCTTTTGGTATAGAATTATAGGAGAATGCATGCTCTTTTTATATAACACAAATACAAGTTTATAAAACTAAAAAATTAATTTAAGTTAATGGGGTCAACTCAACTATGATATCGTTAATTAGGGGAGATAGAGTCAAGGTTTTCATTTTGCAAATAGTTTTCTTGTGGTGTTTCTGTATTTCAGCAATGAAACCACATGAAGTACAAGAGAAACTCGGCTTGACGAGAATAAGAGATCGCAACTGGTATGTACAGCCATCATGTGCCACGACAGGGGACGGCCTCTTCGAAGGACTAACATGGCTCACATCCAATCACAAGTCATGAAACAAATGTTCTTAGATTTGTTTTATTACTAGTTTTTGTTAGTATATTTATTCTTATACATATAAAACTATACATAGGTACATAATGTTATACAGAGTTTTTTTTTTTGTAGCCATTGTCCACCGTAGTCTATCTATTGCTGAAATAATCTTGAGTCATTTCAAACACTGCTTGATCTTAGTATAGTATGAGGCTTTCAGAAAGTGGAGATTTTACATTTTATTTTTATTGTATGGACTTTTTTAATATGTCGGAGAGGTGCAGAAAAGGCAATGTTTTAATTACCTTTATATAAATGTTTGGTTTTTTGTTTGTACTAATCATAATTTTTTTTTCACTATAATAAGCATGAATGTTAAAGCCATCTTTTATGATAGGGTCTCATTTAAATCAGTTTAAAGTTAACTTCGAAATGCAGATCATAACATTTGTCTATATGATTGATTACTAAATTTTTATATTTTTTTTTATTTTAATGCTTCACCTATATGAGATAAATGTAGGTCTAGCTGGGACTTTCTAGGTCCGGGTTATTCATGATAATGATCAATGCTAGTGGTGCGGGGGGGGGGGGGGGGAGAAGGGGTTTCATTTGAACATTTGGCATGTATGCATCTCTGGCCTCGGCAAGACAAAATATCAAGTTTGTTGGAACTGAGCTCCTGTTGCTTCTTATGCACATTGGGCGTGAGTTTTAAGAGGCTGGACAGCACCGGTCATTGGCTCGACAAGGGCACACAGACCATAGATTGGGCATCAGTGATCATTAAAACTAATTTCAACATTTCTCAGAGTGGATACTATCACCAGGTGATTTGCTTCCCTTAATGTTTATATGTCTTTACAGAATGACTAAGTTGTAGCTGGCTATAGTGAACTTGTATTGGAAAGTAGATTGCTAATTTCATATTCATATGAATTGTATGATCTAGATTTCTTTTGGTGGGTCTTACTTCCTTACCCTGTCATTGACAGCATTGTTGCTTGGTTGTTTACATTTTTACCAGAATGAGAGATGAAGTTTTGAAAGTTTTTTGTTGTTTTTTTCTTGTGGTTCTAAAAGATTTAGAGAGGAAAGAGGCTTCAGTGAATGTGTGAAAGAAATGTCTTTGTGATTGATACTTGGTCTAATGTCAAGCCAAGAAAGTGAGAGAGACTTTGCTAAGGTTTAACTTCTTGTTGTTGTACTGTCTTGGTTTTGTACAAAAGAAATAATTCTTACTTAGCATAAGAGAGAGCCTAATAAATCTGATTTAATTTGTATTTTATGTTATTTGGTGTTTTTTTTCATTTGCTGCTCTGTCATGTTATGCAAACATTTTGTTGCTTTTTTTTTTTTTTTTTTTTTTTAGTAATTATTAGCTCCTGTGCCTTATATTAGTATCACTGAAAGGTCACCCTAAACAAAAATAATAATGGGGTCTTTCCTGGGAATGTAAGTAAGAAGTTCCAGGTTATGCTAATTCTTGCTATTGATAAAGATTTAGACCAAAATGTAACTAACATCCTTTGCCCCTCAGAGTAGGACCTTTTTTTTTTTCTAGAGCTGTATGCAGCTAGTGCCATGCCTTTCATGTTAAGCTCTTCTATATATTTGTAAGTAGATGAAGTTGGGTTTATTTTTAAAACATTTTTAATGTTTTAGTATTGACACTGCATGGTGATGCCCCTTGGATCTCTGCTTTATGTCTGACTAGCTAAAATCAGAAAAGCATACTGAAAAAAAAAATGAAAAAAAAAATTTTTTTTTTCAAATTTTGATTATATTGTATTATAGAATTGTATACTAAAGTAGAAAAACAATATGAATATTTTCAAAACTGAAATAATTGTTATGAGTGACCTCAAAATGTTTTTTTTTTTTTTTTCAGCAACTGTTAGGTTTTTAAATTCATTATGATTTGTATCAATTTGTAACAAATAGAATCAGCACAACACTATTTTAAATTGTTTGCATGGTTATAGATTTTGTTTTCACTCCAATGTTAAGGTCATTGGCATTGCAGTAAGAGAACATACTAAATTTGATAGACTAAAGTATCATTCCAAGTGACACCATCACATATCTATATGTCGGCTCAAATGATGTTTAATTGTGCACATTATAAATAGTGATGTTATAACTAGCTCAGTTATGGCTTAAGCTGCGCTGTCACTTCTGTACGCTCTGAAATAAGAATATTTTATTTGGCGTTTCCATTAGCTGCCACCAAGCCAGTTCACTCAATTCCCTTGTCAGAAAGCATCTTTTGTCTATGGTGTCTGTCAACAAATGATTTCTTGGCAGAGAGCACCTTTAGTGAAGGTCCAAGTAAACTTTTGACTAAATACTACTTTGGAAGAAAGTGTGTCAGGTTAAGCTGACTGTAACAGACCTATTTATTATAATTATGTATTATTTACATCATGTTGGCCTAACCATTTGTAAAATAAGTTATGCTTTTTTTTTTTTTTTAACTACTAAAACAAATCATGATGTGTTACTCTGTCGACTTCAAACTAGGTTTCATGTTCTTTTTTTTTTTCCTGTTCCTAGTCCAGTTGTAAATATCTCTCTGCTTGGACAAGACTGTGTTTGAAGCCAGACTGTCACACTGGTAGTCTCTGCTGTATGTGTCTCTAAGTGTATATATATATATATTCAGACATGACCGTACCGAATGCTTTGTTGGTTTCTACTTTGTACGAGAACAAAAGGACTTGTTGACCCTCTGATTAATACCTCAATGTATTTCTTAGTAGTATTTCTTATACCCACTTCATACAATTTTTTTGTTTCTGCAAAGATTAGCATCATAAAATACTTATACTCTAGTAAAAAAAAATTTAAAACTAACTATTAAATTATGGAAGAAAAAAAACTGGGAAAAAAGGCATATTCTTGTCAGCACAAACACTATGTACTTTATTGACCATGCTAAATAAGTGATCCCCCATTTCCAAGTTCTATGATTAAATTATTGCTCTCTGCTTTGTCCTGGTGAGACAATTGTATAGACATGTCATCTCATTTTTTTTTTGTTTTTCCTTTCTCATCATTATGTTTGTACAGATTTCATTCTAGCCTATTGATGAGCACTTTTCACAAATTAAAACATACTGTATACAATGGAGAACGATACATTTTGTTGTTATTGATTCTTTGTGGGTTTTTTTGTGTGTGTAGTGCAGTGATCAGTGCCAGCCTTAGGCATAGGCAAATGGGGCAGCTGCTCAGGGCCTCTTATTGGTGTGGGACAAAAAATATCTTTTAGAGAAAAAAACAGCAAAACTTTGATTAAATCTCAAACATAGCAAAGATCTAATGCTCTGTAAGACTAGCTCTGAGTTTTTACAATGAATTGAGGCTTTGATTAACGAAAGTTAACTTGTTTACCAATTTTAGAAGACCTTTAGGTGAAAATGTTGAGACATTAATTTCCAGTCTGGTGCGTCAAAAGGCAAATGAAAAGCGGACGGCTTTAGAAGAGGTGGTCATCGAATCGGTTAATGAATAAGATCATGGTTGATGCAGAGGAAAGTCAGCAGATTGGCTTTGATTGGAAAGATCTAGGCTTACGGTCATCTTCAATTAGCAATAAAGAATTATTGAAAACTTATTGATTTTGACATAGGTACAGATATGTTAATAATAAATTGCTCAATTTTATGTTTTCGTTGTTTATTTTCGGTTTTCATTTGGGGTCACCAAATACCTAAGGCCGGCCCTGCAGAGATGTCCAACTTTCAGCCTTTGGACAAATATCTACCCTGCAATGCTGTAATGTCCAGCCCTTCCAAGCTTCGGTTAACGGTGCAAAATAAGCTACAAAGGCTCAATTCCAAAACATTTTATGATTTTGATATACATGGTAGGGTCAAAAGACTTAACAATATTTGTGTAATGAATTGTTGCCTACGAATTTGAGGTCATGCACTCACAGACTAGAACTAGTAGATTGATGAGTTATGCTGACATTTTTTTTCAACCGCAAAGCTATCATTGCTTATCTACAATAAGATTTACTTTTTAACTTCATCAAAAAAGAGGGTAGTCCTAAGGTACAGTCATAGACATAGTAAAATAGATTTATACATCTATGGGTAGTGTTGTTTTGGGGAGTTGTCTGCCTTCGGTTATAGTTTGAAGTTGTCTACCTTGTTTTCATTAGTAATATTATATAGTTTTACAACAGTGGACAGCTTGAACTTGTTTATTAATTACTTTCTATTTTTTGAAAAGTACATCTAGTTTGCATTTCTATATTCCCATTCTTTTCGGCTTACAATTTTTTTCTGGAAAGTCGCATACATACATAGGCTATACCAGTGTTTCCCAAACTTTTTTCCTCAAAAGAACTCCTTGAGTATTTAGCTAAACACTTGACTATTTTTTTTATTTTTTTTTAGAGAGATTAATTCACGTGGTGGCCTACTAGTTAATTATTCCAGTACTTACTCATTGGCACAGAACTAAATAGTTTCTGTCGCTGAGCAGACTTTAATCTATCTTAGTCACCCCCTGCAAGATCAACATCTGTAAAAGGGCTGGAACTGTTACTACTAGTGCAAACTGGGGGGTTACCAGACATCCCTATTAGGCCTACTGATACACTCGGGTAACAAGCGAGGTTGAGCACACCGGGGAAATTTCGCTGTAGCCTATCACATCAGCCGTGAAGGTATCCAACATAGAAAGGACCCTTGAGGAATGGTGTTTGGTTAGTGACATGTTTGTTGTGGGCTTTCTTCTATCACCGCTAGTGCAATGGACTCGGTCCTTAGGTCTAAGCTTCCTAACGGGGTTTCTGTTTTGTTTCTTTTGTTAATTAACATAAACGAATAATAACAAACTCTAGGTATAAGCTATAGACAACAAAATCAGCTGTTTAATCTTACGCCATCTTGTTTGACAACAATTTTTCTAACCCGAGCGCCACGTTGAGGCCGGGAAGCATTGCCCTGATGGGATACATGCACGCCCGTAGGAGGACGAATAGGGCGCGGTGGCTGAGCAGTTAAGCGCTTGGCTTCCAAACCTGGGTTTGAATCTCGGTGAAGACTATGATTTTGAATTTAGGGATATTTACGGCGCTCTGACTGCACCCAACTCTAATGGGTACCGAACGCATATAAAACGGAATGAAGGCCATCTTGACTATAACTATGGCTGCCTGGTCGTGCGGTTCGCTCGATGGACTGTCGTTCGGATTTGTCGAGGGTTCAAATCCTACCCGTTCCCATCCCCCGTCGTCCTGCAGGAGGTTTGGACTAGGGAGTAAACTATCTTCAATTCTGAAGGAACATCCGAAACATGTAAAACATTTTACAAACAAACATTTTAACAGTAGGGTGCTCGCGAATTAAAAACAACCCCACTAACCAAAAAAAGGAGAGCCCTGTTCTCTTTTTGCCTGACGTCTGGTAACCCTATGTAAGGCCGATGCATAAATGTATACGTTGATTGTATCCTCCCTATACCCATCTGATTGTAGTAGCCTAGTATGTAGTGGCCCCAGTGTTGACCCTGCTGCTTGTAGGGCCTAGTTAATGGGGGCAACTCAGCGAGGTAACAGCAAAAGAAGAATCATGTTTAATAGGCGTGTACAATGAGGCCCAAACACAAAGACTTGACGTCAAGCCTTGGGGTCACACACAGTCTGGTTCTGTCATTGCGTTGATTTGCGTTCTCGTTAAACTTTCATTTGTGTTATATAAAAAGAGCATGCATTCTCTTATAATTCAATTCCAAATACAACATTTTCTGATAACAAACACAAAGTTATTGAAGCTTAATCATAACAGGATAGTGAAATGCAAACGAGCAAAATCCATTAATAAGATAAGATAATTTTTATTGATCCAATCAAATGGAAATTCAGTTTGACTACAATTGACAACCTCAGCGAAACTACCATACAAAAACAATATGGATGAAAAATTTCGAACAACATTCACTCACGAAACGCATACACATTCACAACCAGCGCTTTATGCATTTGACTTCAATTTACTTTTCGATGACGACAGCTGATCTTGTAACACTCTGACCGATAGTGGGATAAAGGAGTTTTTAAATCTTTCTGTTTTAGACCTAATGGAAAGGAGACGAGCACTTCGTTCAGATCTTATGTAACAGTGGTTTAATGGGTGCAGGTTGTCCTTAAGAATCGTGAGTGGTTTGGAAATGCATCTTTCTTGAAAAAAGCTCTTCAAGAGATGGTAGCTGCATTTGAGTGATATACGATGCTTTTTTAATTAGTCAATTAAGTCTTTGTCTTTGTGCCAGTGAAGTATTACCATACCAGCAGGTGATGGCAAAGTTGATTAGACTGCTGATAGTTGCTGTGTAGAAGAGTTTGATTATTGTTTTGTCTATGTTAAATTTTCTTTGCTATCTGCGATAGAAGAGTCACTGGTGAATTTTCTTGTATAAGTTTTGACAGTGTTTGGTCTATTTCAGTTTGCTGTTGATAGTTGTACCAAGATATTTATATTGTTGTACTTGTACTATGGTTTGGTTATTTATCTGAATTTCTGCAATATTGTCTTTGTTTTTCCTAAAATCAATAATCATTTCTTTAGTTTTCTAAACATTTAAAATTAGAAAATTATCTATACACCATTTGGTAAAAGGTGTTCATTGTTGAATGGTAGGGCCTTCATATTTTCGTCACCTGCAATAAGGCCTATGATTGCTGTGTCGTCAGCAAATTTTATGATGGGAGTGTCAGCTGAAGAGCTCTTAATGTCATTTGTGTATGTGGTATACAATACTGGTGACAGGACGCACCCCTGCGGCGCTCCAGTGCTAAGTTCTTTCGTGCCTGACACATGCCCGTTCACTTTTACATATTGTGGGCGTTTGAAAAGAAAGTTTAGAATCCAAGCTTGTATGTTAATAGGCCTACTATCGGAATGAGAAAAAAATAATAACGGAGAGAGAGTTAACTGGCGAGTGGATCTGGATCAGCATTGAAAAGAGCGTTGTTAGTGTTGCACGGCAGGGGTTAATTGTCTGCAGGCTGGCAGGGCCAGGCTGCGGTGAACGCTTTTCATTGTAAACGTCTCCAATAGGCCCCATTTTCTTCATTGTGACCGGCGCTTTTTTTTCTGCTTTTTATACCTCTATGAGTTGCCTCCCTAATGGGCCTCCTTAGGCCAATAATAGAATATGCATCCTCTGTTTGGGACCCCTCAACTCAAGAAAACATTAAGAAACTGGAACATACACAAAATAGAGCATTGAGATTCATAACAAATGAATGACTAAAGTAACACCCTTAGTAAAATCAATAAATTTAGAAATCCTTCAGGACAGATGACTCAAAAGTAAAGTAGCAATTATACATAAAGCACTGAACCATAATCTTCAAATACAGAAACAAAATTTAATTAAATACTCTGAAAGACACAAAGATAAAGGCACATTCCTCGTCCCATATGCTAGGACAAATTTGTACAAATACTCCTTCTTCCCTAGTGCTATTAGAGCATGGAATGGGTTGCCTGAGCTAGCCAGGAAAACCAGTGACTTGGCAGAATTTAAGTCATTGGTTAATTTGCATGACTATATGCATGACGCGTAGGACGTAATCATCTTCTTTTTTGAAGTAACGTCTGTATTATATAAGATAAGATTAGATAATGTTCATTGCATTATTAAGCATTATGAATAGAGCCACGGGACATCGGCATAGTTTCAATAGCAAGATTTACCTAATTGTTAAATGTATCTTTGTGAGGTAATTCTTGATTAGTCTCAATTGAGGCACGAAATGCTTCAATCACCAGATGCTAGTGTTACGGGTATTGTATAATACCTTTTTTTTTCGCGTGTAAGATTGGCGTTTTCCATGTGGACGAAACCCAAATAGGCCTATGACAATTTGGTATATATTTGAGGAGATTTTTATGAGTTTTCGGTAGATTTTAATAATTTCAAAAGATTTCCAGGACTTTTTCTTATATTCTGCAATTTCAGGAGATTTCCAGGAACTCCTGGAAAAGTAGTAGGCCTAGTCCGCGGAACCCTGTTATAAGTTAAAATGGTTTAATTTAATAACTTACACATAGAATTAGCGCGGGGACCTATGAAAGTGCGGGGCCCACTGCGGTTGCATAGGTTGCAGTGGTCTAA